ATAAATAAATAAACTGCAAACATATGTACTTTGACTGAAACATGATTGCCAGATCAAAATGGAATTGATAGAAACTGCAAAACACAGCTTTTACAGCATACCTCTAACATTGGGAGCCACTCTAGGCTGGCTGCCTCCACCTGCTCATTATTGTCCTTAGAGGATGCTTCCATCTGCTTCTGCTTTTTTGAATTAATGTTGTCTTCTTGAGGGTCTTCAGAGGGAGAGTTGGTTTTGTAGTGGATTGCAGCCTGCCCCGATTGGTGCTCTGAGCTCGCTTAGCTACTGCCTGAGAAGGGCTTCCCACTTCTATAGTTTTCACTTATTTAGGATTCCTGGTCCATTTCTTTCTTTGCTTACCAGTAGCTAGCTCAGCTATAGGCTTAATAAGATTCTCCTTCTTCCTCAAAATGCTGAGAGGTTGAGGCTCAGGAGAAACTGGCAATCCAGCTAAATGGAAATCCATGTCTTGGTTAGTGATGAGTAGGATAGGCTCAGGATTTGGGTTTGCCACAAAGTGTGCAGGGGGTACAGTAGTAAAAATAGGGAGTTTAGGATGCTTGTGAGCGAGGATATTTGGTGGAGGGGTGGATGTATCTGGGATGTCTGAAAATCCTGGTTGAGTGAGAGTTGGGTGAGCAGGTATGGCACTAGTAGAGACTTTGGAACCACTGCCAGAGTGCTGGAAATGGGAGGTTGAGTTGTTATTGGTGGTAGGGGAGGGTGAGGTAGGGGTACCTGGAGATGAAGGGGATGGGGCTGTCTTGTTCCTGAAAATGGTATTTTCTGGGACTTTGAGCCAATCACCGAACTAACCCTCAAGAGGATGGCCATCTGCAATGTCCTTTGCTCTGTTGGGGCAAGCTCTATCCAAGTGCCCAATGAACCCACAGTAATAGCATAAGTTAATGAGTTTTTCATACTTGAAACGAACCCGTTGAGTCTTGCCTTTCAGCTGAATGTGAGAGCATCTGAGGATAGGCTCCTCTAAGATAATGGTCACTAGTAATCGAATACATCTCCCTGTAGCAGTGGTTGCGTTGCTTAGAACCACATCCTTGACTTTCTCAAATGTTTGCCCAATTTTGAGCCCTACTTCCGCACACATCCAGTGTAATGGCACATCCTCAACTTGAACCCAGATGTCCATTTCCTTAAAACACTCATGGTCTCAGTTAATGTCCTCCACCCATTCTCTGAGAACTAGGTATTGGTTTTCAAAGGACCAATTTTTCCCTGCAGCCACTCTAGTTTTGTCCGCAAGGTCATCGAAGAGGAACTGAAAGAAGTTATGGCTTAATTCACGAACTTCCAGCAATCCCCGGAGATTCCAAATACAGTGCAAAGCTCGCTTTAGACCAAATAATCCAGCTTTCATATCTTCTATAATTTTCCTGAATAAGCTCCTATTGCATTCATCTTCACTGAATCTGACATCTTCCACTTTGAGGGGAGTTATGCCCGCTTCTTTGGCGGAGAGGGAAAATGCTCGCAGCTGATGTTCGATGTTGTCCATGGACGTGAGAGAGAGTCTTAGACAGCTTGAGATCCCTGCAAAACACTGAGAAAAAGGACAAGAGAACAAGGAGGGGAAATGGAGAAGAGGAAAGAAACCCTAACGGGATAAAATGAAAAGGGACCAAAACCCTAAGCCACGCATTAACTGAGACAAGAAAAGGAACTAAACTTACCGGCTACTTACTTGGTAGGTAAAGCCGTATTCAAGGAATACATGCTTTTGATTCCTTTCCACTTCTTTTTTTCTTTTTTTTTTTGTCCACCACTTTTCTTTTCTTTTTTCTGCCGTAAAAAATTCAATGTCTCCACTCTTAGGGTTGTATTAGGACTTTTAATGACTTTGTAAGACTTTTTAAAGTAAATGACTCTTGTAGACTAAAGGTCTTGTTTGGCGATCAACGGATAGCGGATAGCGGATTATATTAGTTGATTTGACTAGCGGATTGCAATAGCGGTTTTTAAATAAGTGTTTGGTAAATAGCTGAAAGCTTATAGCTGTTTGACATTGCAAATTACCAATAAGGACATTTTATTATTTAGGGTGTATTCTTTTAATAATAATATATTAAAACATTTAATATTTTTTAGTTGATAATTTATAAATATATTTTTAAAAAAAAAAATTACTAACACTTGATTAAGAAGTTATGAATTTTACATTTTTCTAGATAAATTAATCATCTGGATGACATATTATTATTTGTTAGCATCATAAACCAATGTAGATTGTAAAATAAATAATAAAAATTAAAAAGTTCTAAATTAAAATTGTAGATTGTGAATCCTTTATCCCCAAAAAGCTCCTCTAATGAGCTTTTTTCTAAATTAGAGTTTTGGGCCTAAAAAGCTTATCAAACAAGCTATTTACCAAACAAGTTCAATAGCGGATTTGACGGGTCAAACCTCTCAATTAAGTCAAATCCGCTAATTTATCCTCAATCCGCTATCTTTCAAACGGGGCCATATGCAACTTTTAATGATTTTGGTGGATTTTGTGGGATTGTTATGGAGACTTTTTAAGACTTTCAATATAAACTTTTTGGGACTTTTTAAGACTTTTATATAATTCTTAATGTAATAATACATTTGTATGCTCAAAAAAATAATATGTGCATAATAGCTAGTATCTATCAAGTCAAATTAGAAATTATAAATTATAATATTAATTTAAAATGTGTTATGATATTAAACACTATCCACATAAGATAAGAAAAAAAAATATTATAACAAGTGAAATCGAAATGGAAACAAAAATGAAAAACATTCAACAATTGAACAAAAAAAGTGCAATAGTTATCTTATTGACATTGTACGGGAATTAGAAAAATAAAAAGAGCAAAAATGAAATAAACAACACATCAAATATTTACAGCATCATTCCACATGTTCGTTGCCAAACTCAATCTCCACGCATTTGCAGCTTCTCTTTCAGTTTCTTGACTCTCAAAATATGGTCCAAAATTTTGCGCTTCATCTCCTGTTGAAACTTCATCTTCAATATCAACTGGAAATTCATCAGACCGACACTCTTTGCGCAGAAAATTATGTAATCCTGCGCAAGCTAAGACTAGCTCTGCTTGTGTACGATATGGGTAAGGAGGGGCTGCTTTGAAAATTGTGAAACGAGATTTAAATATGCCAAATATTCGCTCCACCACATTCCTCAAAGAAACGTGACGAAGATTAAATAATTCTTTTGCATTTTCAGGATGACGCCCTTGACCAGAAAAATCTTGAAGGTGATATCTAGTACCTCGAAAAGGAGCCAAAAATTGACGTCGATTTGAAAATCCACAATCCACGAGAAACCATTTACCTGGATATAAAATAATTAATTGTTAACTCATAAGTCATATCAGGAAAAATGTATATGTGAATGAGTTCTTTTTTTTTTTTTTTAATCATACATTGAAGTACTTTGAGTCCATTTTTCCTAGTTAAAGCATCACTGAGTATTTTGGAGTCATGTGCTGAACCTTCCCAACCGCTAAGTACATAAATGAATTCTATATCAAAGCTGCAAGCAGCTAAAACGTTTTGTGAAATAATCCCATGCCGATTTCTATGATTTGGGGCATTTTTTTCAGTCACCATTGCCGGAATATGAGTTCCATCAATAGCTCCAATAGCATCCTGAATAACCAAAAGTTTGGTAAATAATGATAAGAATAACAATGACAAAATCACTATCTAACAATAATACTAACACCAAATCTAATTTGAAAAATAATACCACTTACCTTGAAATAAGGATAAAACCGTGTGCTCTCTCTTATTTTTTCTGGGACTGTAGATCCTGGCTTGACCATCATATCAACGGCAAGCCTTTTTAATATTTTTAAAACCTTGTTGAAATTTTGGCTTGCTGTGAAATGAGACCGGCCATACATTTTACGAATAACACAATAACGACTATTTTGACCAACGATGAGCAAGAACATTGCAAGCATTTCTTCGATACAGATATACCTCGTATCTTGTAGTAAATTTTTTTCTCTTATGATGTAAGATAGTTTTAGAAACACTTGAGGATACATCCTATATATTTCTCGAAAGTTATCTGGATCTTCTCTTAAAATTTTATTTATATAATCATGCTCGTGACTTGTTATCGGTCGCCTTGCCAATGAGCGGTTTGCCCCTTGAAGAGAGGAACTAGTTATATGCTCGTTCAACAAGCAGAAAATTGCTTGAATTGCCAAGAACAACAACCTATTAGCTTCATGTAAAGTCTCTTCATATTCATTTTCCTCATTCTCTTCCATGATGGTGTCATTGTCTTCATGCATCACGTTATCAGACATTATGTGAATATAAGTACCTAAAAAAAAAGAGCGAAAAAAAACATCATCATCAATGGTATGAAAGACATATCAAATAACAATAATATTAAGTTCAAAACATAAATAAAAAACCATTAAATTGGTTAATACCCCAAACAAAGTTCAAATTCCATATGCATATATCCTTAAGGGAAAATAACAAATGCTACGTCAAAAAATCAAAGATAGAAACATCAACCACTTATTATGTCACATGGAGCCAGAATAGATCATTTTAATTTATATGCAATCCGTCTCAAACATTCTTCTAGTGCCATATTCCAAAACTCTGCTTTCTTTGCTCTAGTATTAAGGAAATCAAGGACCTTGAAGTGTGAATCGTCGTCTAAGTTTGGAATCTCCTTTATAATGCCCCAACAGTTATACTCTTTAGTGTCGATAGACTCAAGAGCACGAACAATCTTGTTAACACTTTATGTGAGGTTGTCAGGGTCAGATGCAGTGCTTTTGGGGTTTCCTTCAAAATTAGTTCTGTTTCGCTTTCGAATGGATGGACGTTTTTATGAACTTTTGTGTTGAGCGAATGGTGGAGAGTGCATCGGAGATAATGGCATATGGTCAAAAGGGTTATTATTGTTAAGGAACACCTTAGAATCTGGATCAAGCATCGGGTCGTCTATGGAATTAATATTTTCCATTCTTTCTTCTGTCTCAAAAGTCGTTTCTTCAACATCATCGCCTATTGCAATTGAGTTTGTGCCAGTAGCAGTTCCACATCCAACAGCAATTCTCAGATCTTCATAATCAGAAAAAGTGTCTGTCTTGTAACTCGTATCCCCAGGATGAGACTAGTAAAAGAAAAAAAAATCATTTAAGCACCTTGGTATGAAATATTTTAATCATATCGAGTACTATCAATGAAACATGCTTACCCTAAAGTATTCGTCCCACACATGATCATCAGCAGTAAATTTCTTGATCACGTCATTCCAGCCAAAGCCCGAGTTATGTCGCATAAGCTTGGCATATTTATCGTATTGCTTCTTAAACCATTTTATACGACTTTTATATTGAGAATATGTCTTCTCAGTTCCAAGCTTTGCATTAAGAGAGGACAATATATGTTTCTCTACAGTTACTTTACTCAAATTTCCAGACTTATCACGCCACCCGCGCTTGGCTGCATCAACTATGAGTCTAAGCAATTCATTACTCTCTTCAGATGTCCATATTTCATATCTCAGAACTTTTTCATTTCCTTGTGATGAATCTACCGTTGCTACAAACACCTAAATTTACAAACACTTGAACCGGATAATACTTCGATCATGTCGTGTGACTACTAATTTTCAAATGTGCATGCCATCTATATACATAATGATAACTCCAAGCTAAAAATACTCGAATCAGAGAACTAAAAAATACATGATGATATGTCCAGAATAAAATCTAGAATATGTTACCTAATAAAAAACGTTTCTTATGATCAATACAAAACAAAATGAATATGTGTTTTATTAATGCTGTGAGCCTGCGTTAGTTTTGATTCTTTTTTTTTTTCCTGATAGCAACTTCTATCAATAAATGCAAGAATAAAAGGTAACTGAGCATCACGTAAAAAGTAGTCAAAAGGCAAATAGTTATACAGTTAAAGGCTATGATAGATATTGATACTTGCACACAATCATGCATGTGATTCTATAACATCCAATCCCAAATACCAAACATAAAATACCAATTGTTCAAGAGAAAAGATAGATATAAATAAAAAAATATATACATATATAATAATAACAATGATGGATTTCATATAGATGCAGATTCGCAGAGTTTTGTAATAACAAAACTTTATATATAGTAACAATATTGAAAAAAAAGGTCTCTAGATGCAGATTCGCAGATTGTAACTTGCACTGACCTCTTTCACCACCCGTATTCAATAACAAGATGTATAAAAAATTGAAACCCTAGAGAGAAGAGGAGTACCTTGTCGCCAAGAGAAAGAAGAATTTTCACGTTCAACAAAATCTCACAACTTTGGTGAGATTTCACACGTATTGGTCTCTTTGTAAATTTGGTAAAAAAGTCTCCAAGAATCCTTTTTTTTTTTTTCTTAAAAGTCTCGTAAAATTTTTCTAACTTGAATAACATGTTACTTATAGAGATTCTTGGAAAGTTTTACTTGAATACCTTAAAACTTTTGGAGACTTTTAAAAATTCTTAAGAAGTATTAATTGAATACATGTAAACTTTTTGAGAGTCTCACAAAGTTTCAATTGAATACCCCTAAATTTTGAAAGTCTTAAAAAGTCAGTAAAAGTCTTAATTCAATACACTCCCCTTAATGTTACAACTAGTACAGAGTCCATGCGATTTTAAGGTCATTTATCCAACTTTATAATTATATAAATAAATAAAGAAAAATGTACGACATATATATAGTACACGAGATATATTTATTTGGAGATTATTATACTATAAGATGCCATATTCAATAAACGTTTTACAATACACGAAAATAAATATAAATAATATAAATATCTAAATACATACACGATATGTAGAATAAATCCGTTGGTTAGTTGAGTATATATTGGTTCGTATACTCGTTCTATGCGTTAGTTGTTTTCTTCAATTCATCGTGGATATCCGGGAACAGCTTGAACCGATGATGGAGACAGTGAATCGTGGACTAGTGGATGCGAGGCAGTCTTGGTTCATTTTTTAATTTTTGTCTTCTTGTAGACTTTTGCAAACCTTTGCTTATTCCTTTTTTGTATGGCGAGAAATTTTGAATTGTGCTTGAAGCTTCTTTTTGTTATCCAATTTTCGTATTTCGAGAATTTCGTTTGATCATCCCGTTCCTGGCGTAGAACTTCAAATGGAATTGAGCATCGACATTTTTATTGATCCCTATCTTTTGAAACTTGCTTTGTGATGACTCTAACTCGATGCGAAAGTTCAAGAGAGCGAGTAATGTTGCAGTTCTCGGGAATAAAATAGCCTTAAGATAGGCGGCGAGCAAGACACCGGAGATTACAATCGACCTAGTTCTTTTCTCGTTTTATTTGGGGTATAGCCGTGTTTAAACCCCTACCTTGGTTTCACTATTTAAGCAATTTTTCAAGCTTTTCAACTCTAAATTCCGTTCCTCTCGAAGTTTAGCTAATTCTAATCTATCTTAAGTTGAGTATTGACCTTGTTTTTGAAAAACTCGATTGCAAGTAAGATTAAGCATCTTTTGGTTTCTGCTTATCTTTATTCGCTTGCGAAATATGTGAGTTTCGTTTGGGTGTCATCGCTAAGTCATCATGAAGACTCGAGGGAACAATTTTCTATCACCACTTTCGTGAATAACATACCATCGAGGAAGACAATAATTATTCACGCTCGACATCGAGATGAACGAACAGGAGCAGAAGCCAACACAAATCGGTTCGATAAGAAAGATGGAGTGATTACATATCAAAGAGTGTTTTTCCACCTTAAAAGGATTATGGTGAAATATTTTAAGGAGGATAGTCAAATTCAGAGCAAGCACATTGTGTGGTGCAGAACCGTCCTTATTCTAAATTTTGTCCATCGTTGAAACTCTCGTTTTTGTACTTCTTTCAGAGTTCTGGGAGAGCTGATATGACGGCCGATTTGGGATTATTCCCGACTAAATCACCGTGTTAGAATCTCTTTAAAGTGGGGCGTAACGGCAGGCCCGACGAACCACCGCCGCGAAGCAGCCCGCCGACCGCCGTGACCAAACTGGCAGCCGCGACGCGACGACGGACTAGCCCCGCGATGAGTCCGCCACCCGCGATCAGCCCGACGAGCCCGATGCGATGTCCCCGGCGACCCGACCCAACATCCGGAAGCCCGACAACCTTGTCCACGCGATCCGATTGTGAGCCTGATGTTTTGTTCGTGATCCAATCCAATTCGTGTGATTGTGTACGACCACCCGGAAGATAAGCAGATCGCCATAAATTTTAAGCCGTTAGTTTTCTACACAAACCTTTAGATCTGCCGCGCATAGGTTTACTTTTGCTATTGAATTTGTGATTTGTACATAAAGAGATCCTCATAGATCCAGAGATTTTGTTACAAAAAAATCCCAACGAATCCGATCATATTATGAAAGTTGTTAAAAAAGGCTAAAAAATTCAAAACCCTTCCCAAATTTTCAGCCAAAAGATTTATCATAATTGCTAGAGATTTTGAGTAATAATTATGAAATTTGTATAAGAAAGGCTGTTTTCTGTCTCTCACACTTATACTCACCTTAACACTCTTAAGTTTCACTGCATAGATATCCCAAAATACAACTTTACATCAGAATCCAAGAAATCCATTACATAC